TATAAATTTCAATAAGCTTAAAACATGTCAAAAAGAATAAACTCACTTATTCAGGAAGTCATTTGAGCAGAGAAAGTAATACTGCTTTTAAGAGTGACTGGTGTTCATTCAGAGGCACAACAGGCACATGAAAAGAGTCTCCAGATCATTAATTATTAGAGAAATGGAAATCAAAACTACAATGAGATATCCCCTCACACCGGTCAGAATGGCCGTCATCAAAAAGTCTACAAATAGGGCTTCCCTGGTGGCGCAGTGGTTGAGAGTCCGCCTGCTGATGCCGGGAACATGGGTTCGTGCCCCGGTCTGGGAAGATCCCACATGCCGCGGAGCGGCTGGGCCCGTGAGCCATGGCCGCTGAGCCTGCGCGTCCGGAGCCTGTGCTCCGCAACGGGAGAGGCCACGGCAGTGAGAGGCCCACGTACCGAAAAAAAAAAAGTCTACAAACAACAGATGCTGGAGAGAGTGTGGAGAAAAGGGAACCCTGTTGCACTGTTGGTGGGAATGTAAATTGATACAGCCACTATGGAGAACAGTATGGAGGTTCCTTAAAAAACTAAAAACAGAAATGCCATATGAACCAGCAATCAGACTCCCGGGCAAATATTTGCAGAAAACCATAATTCGAAAAGATACATGCAACCCAATGTTCACTGCAGCATAATTTACAATAGTCAAGACATGGAAGCAACCTAAGTGTCCATCGACAGAGGATAAAGAAGATGTGGTACACATATACAATGGAATACTACTCAGCCATAAGAAGGAATGAAGTTGTGCCATTTGCAGAGACGTGATGGACCTACAGATTATCCTACTAAGTGAGTCAGACAGAGAAAGACAATTATCATATGATATCACTTATATGTGGAATCTAAAGAAATGATACAAATGAACTTATTTATAAAACAACTAGACTCACAGACAGAGAAAACAAACTTATGGTTACCAAAGCAGGAGGGGTAGGGAGGGATAAATTAGGAGTTTGGGAATAACATACACACTGCTATACATAAAACAGGTAAACAACAAGGACCTACCGTAGAGCACAGGGGACTATACTCAATATCTTGTAATAACCTACAATGGAAAAGAATCTGAAAATGTATACACATATACGTATACCTGAATCACTCTGCATACACCTGAAACTAACACAACATTGTAAATCCGCTATATCTCAATAAAAATTTTTAAAAAGAGTAACTCATGTACTAGAAGTGCTGCTGTTGCCCAACACTGGGTGAGGTCCTCATCTGCCCACTCAGCCAATGTCCCCTGACCACCTGCTATGTGTTAGGTGCCATGAAAACAAGACGGGGAAGCAGTTGGTGCTGTGCTGGTCGCGGCCCACACCAAGGAACAAGAACTGATAGTCAGATTTCAGCAATTTTGAGCTAACTGTTAAATAGAGACACTGTTAAAAATTAAATTATATAAGCTTACGATTAAGCACATTTTATTTTTTTAAAAGTTAGTAAGTATTCAAGGCTCATAATTCCCTAATCATTTTACTACATTTTACTGTAATCCATCCTCTTGAGCTTATCTGTGTCTAGCGACCTGTACGATGGAAAGATAACATAGTGGTTGCTACTCTATACCGCTTTAGGACTCACCTCTCTATGATGTCACATCAGTAACTTGTAATATGTCAGGGTGGGAGTTTTACACCACAGAAATGAGCAAATGCTACAAATCGGAGTGTGATTTCTTTGTTGTGTTGATTGTCAAGACATAAGCAAATAACGGGTAACATGTTAATAATGCAGATTTAACTTAAAGGTGTATCATTTTTCTATTTGCTACACTGTCAATAGCACACAAATTTGAAGAAAAATACTTCCAGGATTCAAAACTATCATGCCTTTCAGCAAAGTCACTCACCTCAGTGACTAACATGTGAAGTCCCAGCACACGTCCTTGCTGTTTGACCTTCATCTTACTCATTAACATAAATGAAAATATCAACCAACATTCATGTCAGAACTACACTCACCCACCAGTGACAGCCATAGGTTGATTATGGATACAAAAATGCAGCAAAAGTCAACAAAAGTATTCTTTGAGAATCAATTGCCTATGTGGAATGATCAATAGAGAGCGTTGTACATTTAGTTATTATTTATGTATTGCATGCTACACAGTCTTTATGTCAGTCAACTTCATAATAAACTTATGTACATATATATGCATACTCTCCCTTTCCAGGAGAACTGGTTGTTAAACACCTGTGAACACGTGTTTGGAGTGGCTGTAATGGTGTACTTATTTTGAAGACACTCAAAACCTACTGTAAACAAACGGGCACTGCAATAACAGATATGCAAAAGGACAAACAACCCAGTCGAAAAATGGGGAGAAGACCTAAATAGGCATTTCCCCAAAGAAGACATACAGATGGCCAACAGGCACATGAAAAGATGCTCAACATCGCTAATTATTAGAGAAATGTAAATCAAAACTATAATGAGGAACAATCTCACACCTGTCAGAATGGCCATCATTAAGAAGTGTACAAATAAGTGCTGGAGAGGGTGTGGAAAAAAGGGAACTCTCTACACTGTTGGTGGGAATGTAAGTTGGTGCAGCCACTATGGAAAATAGTATGGAAGTTCCTCAAAAAACTAAAAATAGAGTTGCCATATGATCCAGCAAATCCCATTCTTGGGCAAAAACTTGGAGAAAACCGTAATTCGAAAAGATACATGCACCCCAATGTTCATTGCAGCACTATTCACAATAGCCAAGACATGGAAGCAACCTAAATGTCCACCCACAGAGGAATGGATAAAGAAGATGTGGTACACGTATACAGTGGAATGTTAGCCATAAAAAATAATGAAATAATGCCATCTGCAGCAACGTGGATGGACCTAGGATTATCATACTAAGTGAAGTAAGTCAGACAGAGAGAGACAAATACCATAGGATATCACTTATAGGTGGGATCTAAAATATGATACAAATGAACTTATCTACGAAACAGGCTCACAGACATAGAGAACAGACACTTGTGGTTGCCAAGGAGGAAGGGGGTAGGGGTGTGTTGGATTGGGAGTTTGGAATCAGTAGATGCAAACTAGTATATAGAGAATGGATAACTAACAGTGCACTACTGTAGAGCACAGGGAACTATACTCAGTATCCTGTGATAAGCCAGAATGGAAAAGAAAACGAAAAAGAATGTGTCCATCTATCTATCTATCTATCTAACTGAATCACTGTGCCGTACAGCAGAAATTAACACAACATTGTAAATCAACCATACATCAATGAAAAACTAAAAATTAAAAAGAAAAAGATATGCAAAAGGTACTTGAGACTACAGAGGAGGAAACCTAACCCACAAGGTATCCAAAGAGGCTATGGGACAGTTTTCCTTGAGGGCCCAATAGTATTTGAGCCAAGTAGGAAGTGAACCGTGTTTTAAGACAGAATTATTTACTATAATGATTGCTGAAATACCAAGCTCAAGATTGTTTTACATGTAACCAATCAATATGTAAAGATCGTTGCCATGCAGAACTATGATGATTCTGCATATGTATATAAAGGGTGTTCATTTAGAAAGTTAACAGAAAATATTTTTTAAAGAACACTTTTAACCGCAATGCTTTTCTGAGTCTATTTCTGCACAGAGAAGGATGTACAAAATCATACAAAACTAGATGTCTTAGGAGAGTAAGGCATTCATTTATAAGTCGTACCCTGGAGCCACAAAGTATTAACTGACAGGTTATTAAGAGATCTCCCACCTACCAGATGTGCAGAGACCGTAGAACATCCATCTTGTCAGCAAGCTTTCAAAATTGCCAGAGAAAGTGTGGAGACACAGCAGAGAAGTTCTGCCCTGGGGTCGGGAGTGGAGGGTGAGGAGAATGAATGTTTCCAACAGTCCCAGACACAGTCCTCGATGACAGCACCCTAAGAGAACATGCTATGGAGCATTGCAGGGGACATAGAGAGAAAGCTGCCTTCTCTCCCCCTGCACCTCCAGGGAGGGAGACTCTGACCAAGTGCTCCTGGACACGTGGTCAAGGATCAAGTATGCACCTGCGGGTGCACACGCAGGCTTGTGTGTGCATGGGATGTGTGAGGTGTGTAGGTAAAAGAAAGAGAACAGAAACTAAACAGATGAAGTCAGATAAAAACTAGACTCCTTGGCTTCCTAGTAAATGTCCTCAAACTTTGCTCCCTATTCTTACCCTACAAAAGATAGCAGTCATTTTATTTGATTCTAGGTCTAAGTGCTACGATTTCAGATATGAATCCTAGTCTCACATTCAGCTCTGTGTCTGGGTTACTTACAGAGAAATGCTTGAATCTCGGGAAATTACGCTTTCCTTTTTGCTATCCTTTCCCTACTTCTAGCCCCGGAATCAGCTTAGTCGCTTCTGGGTTCCACAGGTAAGTTGACAGAAGAAGAAACCCATTCTGCAGATGCCTCTTCACCTTCCTCTCTTCACAGGAGCTCTGCCTCTAGCCTCTGTTCATGTGTGACTCTTCAGCTGATTTCTTCGGTGACATTTCACATTGATCTCAACTTTACAATTTCCCTAACGGTTTACCGCGTTCATCTTCTTGAAGGAAGAATATACTGTCGCCAAATTAACTGGTTAATAAAGTGACTGTGTTGCTTTATCGCTAGCATAGTATCTGTGGGTTATATTTTTTTCATCTTATCCAGCATGAAAATTTATTCTACATTTCATAAGCCAACGAAGAGTAAGAACAAAACTGGGGTTCTAAAATAGCGACATCTATTAATTCTTAAAAACAAGAACTCTATTGCATTTATATTAAATTCCTATATATTGTATAAAATATGTAGACAATAGTAATATGGAAAATTTTATCTATACTCTGATTCACACCGCCCTGCCCCCCGCCCCCCATAAGAAGAATACAACTTGAAGACTATAAATATTGTTTGGGTGAAAAAAACACCACTTGAAATTTGAAGTATATTTTCTTCATACTAGTCTTGGCCATAAAAAAAAGGCAAAGGAGTATTACGTCAGTCAGTTTCCCATCAATGCTGTAACAAATGACTCAGACTTAATGGCTTGAAACAACACAATTTATTATCCTACAGTTCAGGAGGTCAGAAGCCTGAAATGGGTTTCAGGGACTAAAATCCTTCTGGAGCCTCTAGGGAAAATCCATTTCCTTGCCATAACCAGTTTCTAGAGGCCATTTAAATTCCTCGGCCCCTCGCTTCATCTCCATAGCCAGCAATCACATCAGCCCAACCTCTCCTTCCACTGACATCTTTAAGGACCCTTGTGATTACATTGGGCCCACCCAGATAATCCAAGATAAGAGCCCCGTCTCAAGGTCCTTCACTTGATCATATCTGCAAGCTCTCTTTGGCCACAAAAGGTTACATATTCACAGGTTCCAGGAATTAGGACCTAGTCACCTTTGGGAAGACATTAGTCTGTCCACCACTCACAGCTCAGATTTGATTCCTGATCGTGGCCCATGCCCACTGAGAAGGCAGAGCCGGTGTAGTCCATCAGCTCACCAAGCCTCAGAGCAGCTGCTACCTTGAGCAATGCCAGCCGTGACACAGGGGAAAGGGAGCTCTCAGAAGCAATTAGGTGCTGGGTCTTGAAGTGACACAAATCACTCTTGCTTCCAGTTCATTGGTCAGAAACAATCACACAGTCTCGCTCAATTTCAAAGTGTTATCCTTCCATGAGAAAGGATGGCACAGCCTGAATATTGGGTGCAGGGTATTCCTATCATAGCCCCACCACTCAGATCACCCCCAATTCCCCACCAAGATGTGGTTGCTGTTAACGCTTTTCACCAAATATTGCCAATTTTTCACCATCCAAATATCATTTAGGTGCCTCTCATGATCAGACTAACTCAGAACCACATGGAGAAGGGAATTTTGGAAACTGTACTTCTAGGCCTATGTTAAATGATACAGAAAACCCCCAAAGGGGTGAGCAGTGGTAGTCAATTAACAAAGTAAGACTAAGGTGTTCCAGTAAAACTGCCCTTATCGCATGCTTACATATAAACTGTCTTCTTGCAATTGTGACATTTAATCTCAGAACAATCTTGAAATAGTGTGATGTTATCGCTCTGACATAGAGTTGAGTAGTCTGCCTAAGTAAGCAGTAAATGTTGGCATTGAGAGCCAACCTTAAGTCTTCTTTTATTCCCAAGTCCATAGACTTTCAGTCCTTTTTTCTTCCACTGTATACTTACAAGCTCGTGAGAGAACCAGTCTCCTCTGCTCTGAACCATGACTGCTATGCCAGTAGCAGAGTCAGAACTCATGATGAAGAGATGGTATCGAAGTTATAATCCGTGAGGGGTGACCATCAACGCCCACTGGCAAAGCACACCGTACGGTAAGAACATGGAGGCATAAAACGTGGACTGCATTCCCAACGTGGCCAAACAATCACTTTGAGGTGAATCACCTTCTGTCTCCAAGACGTCTTCTTTCCATATACAGAAGTGGGCAGTATCACCGTAAGCCTGTTGCAATACTGAAAAGATCATTTGCAGTGACAGACAGGAAGCTATAAATCAATGCATTTACACAAACGTTAATTCATGTACTCATTTAACAAATAACTATTCCTTGACTATTCCCTAATGGGCACTCAAAATATGTGATCACGGAAGTGTTTCAAAGTAGGGAGACTTGCACACTGATGGAGCTGATGACTCATTACAAAAGTTTTATTAAGAAAATACTTTCTGCCAAGTTTACGTTAGATTCTCTCCATATTAAAACCAGAAAACATGTAATTCCTAGTGTCAGAGAAGGGTCAGGCCCCATTTCATAGGTAAGTGATAACTCGCATGAAGACAGACTTTTCGTACCATTCTGAAACAAATATTTACTCCCCCAGTTTTATTTATCTTATTAAATTACTACAGTCACATTTTGTCATATTTTCACAGAATTATATTAATTTATGCACATTAGAATGTTTCTTTCTAAATTCAAACTCACAGACATTGAATAACATCCACAACCATCTCTACAGAGTCACGAGTCCTATGTTGACAGGATTTAAACATTTCAAACAAAAAAGCACATTAATGCATGTAGCAATAGATTCCAATCGAAAAGGAAATACAATTATAAGCTGAATGACAATTCTAACTGCTTCTGTTGTGCCAGCTGACTTTGTGAAATACGTCCATGTGCTTTATTCACTGTATTTTCCCCTTTTCCTCATTCTAAGCAGGTCACCGAGTGCCCTATCTTCTTAGCTGTGACTTTTTGTTCGCGGAGAACTAAAACTGATTGTATCTTTTTAAAATCCTAAATTCACTGACAACATAATGCCAGGCATCGCAGAGCAAGAAGGGACTGATTGACAAGGAAGCCAGCCCATCACAGAGGAAAGGGGAGTGGGGACTGGGAACGCAAGCCCTGTCCAGAGTTTGTTACCTGGAAGCGTGGCTGGAACTCAGAACCAGTGACCACCTGATACCTCAGACTTTGGCTGCAATGACTCGCAGCATTGCCAGGCTGTGGATGGAACACCAGGGATTATGTATGAAACACTAACACTTTTTAATGCAATGTCATTAACTTTGTGTTCAAAAGAACCTGATATTTAAATCATTTACGTATCAATAATGAAATCCGTAATGTAGCTTCTTGATATGTGCAGAAAAGACAAAACCAAGGGCTGTCTATAAGCCCAGGCAAATCTGAACCTACACATGATCTTCTATTTTTTTTTTTTTTTTTTTTTTACTATTCTACTATTTTAAGCATAATTATTGCCACTTACAAAGACCTTTTGAACAAGTGAAATAATAGCATCGTAGTATTAAACTGATACGTTGCATTGACTGTATTGTGGGATGGTGCTGAAAAAATGTCTTCTATGTTATCAATAGAACCTGTGATTATTTAAAGATAAGGGACTCAGGGGAAAATATCTGAAGTTTGTTCATAAATGTTCTACTAAACATTCTCCTGCTGGGGAAGACATAGCAAGGGCCTTGCCATCAGTTGGAAATCTTTTTAAAAAAAATACTCAGCTCAATAATAATCCTGTTAATGCAATTTCTTAGAGGATCTCTTTTACAAAGAAATTGAACTGCATAATATCATTTTAATGATTCATGCATAATTAAATGTTCAATTTAGGTAGTGCTGGCTTTTGGATGATATTAATTCTTCTAATTTTATCAGTCTATGATAATATAGGTTTAATATTTACATTTTGCTAGACTGATATTTAATATTTCTAATATATTTATACATTTAATGTATCGCATACTGAATTTTACTGATTTTTTATATTTTATGAAGTCTTAACACATTATTATTAACATTATTAATTAACAAGCAATAAAAATATTAGTATAACTATTACGCTCTCCTATTGGAATCATTTTCCCGGCCTCGCCAATCTCACCTGTGCCTCAAGAACAGCAGAAAAAACATTAGGACTGACTGTAGTGATTACATCCTAAAACAAGGGTGTGTCCGCAGCCGTGACCCCAGGGGTCTTCCTTAGATTTTAATGGGAAGACATGACTGAAGGGAAGAGTCCACTGAGGACTGAGATTAAAGTCCTAGTTAGCAGAAAGACAGAAGGGGGAATGATAGGTGGATTTTTTCATATCGTAATTCTTGCACACCAGCAACTGAGACTGCAAGTTCATGTCTTTTCTGTCTTGGTATCTTTGCTGTCCATACTGTAGCCTGCATTATCCCGTGCCTGTCCTCTGATGAATTCTGCCAAACTGTCTGATCAGAATTCAGGTCCACGGAAAACAATACGGTTTCCGCGGATTCTCCCCTCATTGCCCTCCAGGAACCAGATGTTCCCCTCAGGATCTCTCTTAACTCTGATCACAAGACTCTTAAGAAACATCAGTTCTTACACTGTATTTAAATTATGTGTACTCATATTTTGTCTCTCCGATAGATTTTCACGCCCTTCCACGAAGAGCCCTTATTTATTTTATCTTAGTATTCTCATTGGTGCCTACCATGGTGCTCTGTACCTAGCATTCTCCACTGTAGGTGTTCCAAACCTTGGCCATCCCACTTCAATTTATAATCTGGCCTCAAACAGTCCTCAACACTGTCCTTTTGGCTTGTCCTAACTTGTGATATTTTTCCTATGAATTCTGGAAACTTTTTCTGGTTAGGTTCTCCTTATACCTTTTTCCGTTCTCATTTTCTGCTCCTTTAAACAGCTATGACTTCCAACCTATCAATGTCCCCCGGACTTACAGGGTTGGTGCATTTACCTTGTTGTTCACGCGCTTTGTCTGAGCCCCAGCAGAGCCTCTCACAGCTCCATTCACCACAGACAACTCCGAATACTGTTGGTCTCACAGCTTGAATTTAACCTCTCCCTCAGCATGTGCTCCCAGGATTTTTCTCTGGTTTAGTAAAGCCCCCCTTCATCTGGGCACCCTACCTCCTAATTCTTTCTCCTCTCTGGGGGGTCACTGTAAATGTTAAATGGGAGGGAAGAACGATGAGGCTTGGGAAAATAAAACCCAGATACGTATTGAAAGCAGACCTACAGGATTTACTTCGGGTGTACAAAAATGGGAAAATAAAGCAAGACTGAGTTTTGTAACCTGAATAACTGGCTGAATGATGGTGCCTTTTTCTAAGATGGGAGGCACAGGAGGAGTCAGGTTTATGTCAGGGACGTTGGTGATCAGGGTTCATTTAGAGCCAGGACACACAGGCAGAACTATCCACTAAGAGGCTGATACTTGTGTGCACAGTGTGTGTGTGGGTATCTGTGTGTCCATGTGAAAAGACAGAGAGTGGTACGGTCTGAAAATCTAGGACATTAATGTACAGATAGCATCTAAAGCCAATGAACTAAAGAAGATCATTTAAGAAGTGATTAAAGATGGACAAAAGAAGAAATCCAATAAAGGAGAACTGGAGCAGCCCAACATCTACAGGCAGGAAATGCAGGACTGAGCGCTGGAACAAGATAATTAAAAACAATGACTCCTGCCAACCCAGAAAACCTCTCTACAAGAGTAGAAGACAAAGAAAACAGTTTTCGTCCTGTTAAATTACCATTGGTACTAAATTACTACTGTTAATCATACTGTATTAGTATGGGTTGTGCAGCACAGGTGATCCACTAAGAGACTGCAAAGACAGAAAGAAATCTTATCTTTTATAGAGCCAGGTAGATACAGCCCATTATATACATGTAAGATAATCAAAAACTAGTCCTCAAATAAGAGGACTGACAGCACTGTTTGTCATACAGAGTTCCTTCTAGATTCACGTGGTGATGGGGTGGCCATCTGTATTACCTAAGTGGCTTTATCCAAAGGAAAAATAAACTTCTCACGTCTTTATTACAGGAGGTAGTTTTGTAACTTGGAGCAAAGCATCCACTGAAATTAGGCTTTTACTCTCCCACAGAAACTGGGAGATGGGGCCCTATCTTCCTTGATGATTACATTCAGAAAAATGGTTCTTAAGTCTTTGAGATACTCCTGAGTCTTAAAGGTGGAAAGAGGCTTACTTAGCCATAAAAACATTTTACATACATCTTTTACGTTATAATTACAATGTTTGGTTTTAAGTAAATAATATGCTAAGAAAATGTGGCATGGGGAGTCTCTTTCCTTTTTTCACTGGAGAAAATTGTGGGTTTTTTTTTTCTTTTTTCAGCTTGTATTTATCCTCAGATGAAGAAAGAGGAAGATTAAGAGCACATGGTACCTTTGAAAGCAAGAGGGGAAACCAACCAACCAACCAGAAATATTTTGAAAAGGATGGTATAATCAGCTATGTCCAACTTCATGTAGCAGTTGAGCAAGGAAGGATTGAGGAATGATTGTCAGATGTGGTGACACGTAGGACATGTGACCTTGATTATTTTTTTTAGTTATCAGTGGGATGGTAGGAAAAAAAACCCCTAAAGTGGAGCAATTCAGGGAAGAGGGGGCAGGAAGGGGAGAAAGTGACTAACAGAAGTTAACAGTTGAAGGGTAAGGCATTTGATGCTTATGGGATAATCCAACAGGCTGGGAAACATTGATGTTTCATGAGAACAAAGATGATTAAAGCCGTGATGTCTTGGGTAAGAGACCAGAGGAGATGGAGACCTAGCAGAAAATAGAGGGTTTGGCCTTGGATGAAAGGAGAGGTACAGGCAGACCTACAGATTGGGTAATGGATGATGATGACGTTTCCTTCCGATTACTTGCTCCATGAAGTAAAAAGCAGGACCACTCTCTGAGATGCGAAGAGGAGAGAGGTGTGAACTAAGCAGCTCAGAGCATGGTGGAGTCACAGAGACCTGACTAACCCAAAGCACTATGACCGTCAGACACCAAGACCCTGCTGGAGTTGGTCTGTGGTCATGAATTTAGGTGAGACTAGTAGGCATGGATGTGTCTGTCCAGTTACATGAATCTGCTCTGACACTACTGTGGAATTCTGGGAGTGCTAGATTTAACCAGGACTGGGTTATAGTGAGGCAAGTGCAAACACAGAGCAAAGGATATACGAGTTGGGATGCCTGCTTATACATTACTATATTGACTAGGGGCATTTACTTCTAAGTATTTGAGTTTTCACAGTAAACTGGAAAACAAGATTATCAACTGAGAGTAAATATGGAGGAGAAGGTGGAGTTTGAAGATTTGAAGAGAGGAGAAAAGCAAAAAAGCTGTCCAGAAAGAGGGTGAATACAGAGGAATATAGGGTTTCTGAGCAATAATGAGGGGCCATTCAAGGTTAATGATCATGGATTTAAAGGGAGACCAGTCACCATAGTTTTTTGTTTTGTTTCTCTAACCATGTTTAGGTGAGTGCATTCAGGCATGCAGTGGGAGGAAGCTTAAATTTAAGCAGGGTTGTATTTATCCAAGAAATTAAGATGAAGGAAGAGACGGACAAGGGACTATGGCACAAATATCAAGGTGTGATCAGAATGCTTTAATGTGGATAGAAGCTAAGTAAGAAGTCAAGACTTGAGGGGTTTGAGGGAAAGTGAAAAGTTGGGACGGTGAGCAGGAGAGATGGCGAGAGATTATCAGATTAGATAGATATTAGAAGTGACCTCAAAAGATGCCAAGAGAGGGATGTTCGCTTTTGATATTGTGGAGGGCTTATACCCAATGATTACGACAAGTGACTTCCTAGAGTGAAAGCAGAGGACCATTGAAAAAGAGGGCACCCAGGACATGGAAGCAACCTAGATGCCCATCGACAGAGGAATGGATAAGGAAGGTGTGGTACATATAGACAATGGAATACTACTCAGCCATAAAAAGGGATGAAATTGGATGGCCCTAGAGACTGTCATACAGAGTGAAGTAAGTCAGAAAGAGAAAAACAAATACTGTCTATGAACACACATATGTGGAATCCGAAAAAAATTGGTATAGACGATCTTATTGACAAAGAAATAGAGACACAGATGTAGAGAACAAACGTATGGATACCAAGGGGTAAGGCGGGAGTGGAATGAATTGGAAGAATTCACTTCGCTGTACAGTAGAAACTAACAC